TCGGAGTTAAGACCATAATTACCACTCAGCTGAGCTTCTGTAGTGCTCAGACGCCCTACTTGTGCGTTCATATCCCCTGCAAATACTATAATATCTGAACTAGTAGCACTGCGTAGTAGGGCGTTCAGTTCGTGATAGAATGTGTCCTTGACAGCATTTGAACTGCAGTCGGTGGGACTATAAACGAAAATCACAAAAGCAGCCTTTTGTATTACTTCGTGAATCCACCTTAGCTGTTGTCGTCAAACGGACTGCACACAAACGGCTGTTCACCGGAATCCAATCGACCAACGATGGCTCAGTCATGGAGATTAGAATGCTACCTACGCCAGCTTCACCCGTGAGTGCTGCATCGGCGTCTCCGGATGCTTGCAATCAATAACGAGAGGGCAAGCCGGGTGCAGTTAATTCAGTAACCCCGTTAGGGTCATTGATCCTAGTTTCAGACACACTACATACATCAATACCTAGTGTGTCCAAGGTGCGTGCGAGTGCAGCCTGTTGACTTATTTGTCTTAGAGTGGGAACGTTAAACGTCGCCATGGAAACGGGATAGCTTGACTTTATAAGGGATTTGCCGATAGGCGTCCGATAGAGGCTGTAGATGGTGGCTGCAGATGCTTCTACTCCAGTGGCACTTCGGTTGCTGTTAATTAAGCTGGGAATTATAGAAGGAAGGTTAGTAATGGGGGTCGGGATAGGAGCAAGAGAAACAGGTGGAAAAGAAAGAAGGGAGGCGCCAGCAGTAGCATGTTTTCGCTTATACGCCCTGCTGTATGCAGCAGATAAGGCGACCCTTGATAATCTGCGCGACGGCCGATGCAGGATAAAGTTTATGTTTGCAGAAAATGTCTTGGTTGTGTGTGGGCTGCGATACTGCCAGGACGCCCAGACCTAGACAGGAGGATGATTAGGGTCCTCATACAAAGCCTTTGGTTCAAAAGCCTGTCCGCAAGGCAGCGGGGAGGTGGCAATGATTTAGTTTTACAGAAATGGCTGCCATCGCATGTTAAATCCCCAACCTGGAGAACCAGGAGACTGAGTATGTCTGACCTCTCACCATTGACGAACCTGGTAGGAGTAGCTCTCAAGGTCACCGGAGGCATTACCCAGTATAGCTTAATGGGTCAATGAGGTACGCAAACCGTCGCACCACGTTAAGCTCCAGTCTGGTTGCAACGCCCGCATACCTCTGTGCAGACATTCAATTAAACTTACAAACTTACGCGGGCAACCAAACTTACCCAACACCAGCCACAATGCCTCGCGGTTCACCGTATCAAATGCTTTGGTGAAATCAACAAGCAGCGAATACAATGGCTGGTGTCGTTCTCTGCACTTCTCCTGCAACTGACGAGCCGCAAACACCATATCTATACTGCTGCAACCCGGACGGAATCCACATTGCGCTTCCGCCACGTTCAGTTCCACAACCTGACTGACGACGCGGTTGAGCAGGATTCGGGCGATCACCTTGCCCACACAACTCAATTAGTTGATGCCATGATAATTCGGGTAACATTGCATGCTTCCTTTGCCCTTGCACAGTGGTAGCACAAAGGCATCCTTCAGCTCAGGCGTCATATCCTCCTCAATCCACATGCGCTGCACCAAGTGGTGCAGCGAAGTCACCAACGCGGCTCTGCTGTGTTTCAGTACTTCAGGGGGGGGGATCACGTCGGCACCGGCACACTTACCGTTTCGCAGCTGAGCAAGTGCTCTCTGCGTCTTATCCAATGTCGGCGTGTTTGCCAGACTCGCCTTCACATCGTCCCGCTTCATGCTACTCAAAGTAGGCCACTCCATCTTTGAACGGTTGTTCAAGAGGCAGTCAAAGTGTTTCCGGCAGATCTGCATTAAGTCTGCAGGCTATGTGCAGGTAGCGCCTGAGCTACCACAGCTTAGCGTCCTCAGTGGCTCCACGCTCTGTCCCTACCTCACCTATATATATATATATATATATATATATATATATATATATATATATATATATATATATATATATATATATATATATATATATATATATATATATATATATATATATATATATATATATATATATATATATATATATATTTGGTTGGCGGCATCCGCCTTCGGATTTGACTGTCACTGTGGCCGACCACAAGACACCAGCTCCAAACACACACCCCGTACGCACACAGCTTATATTTTTTCAATAAGGAATTCCGCTGGTAGGAACTGTCCTACAAATTAGTTTTGTGTCTTTGCGCTTCACCTATTTTTTCGGTACACATGTTGAGGCATCTCAATGTGTTTTTTGCAGCCATGTGCCCACGGCGGATTGATGGTACCCAGCAAATTGTAAAACCTCTTCGAGCAAATATTTTTAGTAGGGAAAGATATATTCTTCGATGCTCACTAGCCGAAACTGCACCAAATAGACCTGAAATTGTTAGCGCTAAGCAATATCAACCGTCCCATTTATGTATATCGCCTCTTCATAGCATACAAGGTTGCACAAAATTAATGGTTTTCTTTCGTTTATTGATCGAGAGTAATTCTAACTGACTCTCACGTTCCGTAATTAGAAGGAAAAAGCGCGATAGTAATTTTTTTAGTTAGGTTTTGAAACGGAAATTCGGTGGAGTTGATTATAGTGAACCAGATTTTTGAGTAACAACCTCAAAAGGTTAGGATCCGCTGACGTACAGAAACAAGCGGAACAGCTAAGTGTGAGGTCACTTTCTTACAGCACCAGCAATACCGCATCCAGAACCTAAGCAAGAATACTTTGGACGCAGTACTTAATTAAAGAATGTCATGTCTTTTCTTCGCACTACCAAGATTAGTGGACCGATGATACATGTTGTTCAGACCTACTTGTTAAGGTTCAGTGCATAAAAGGCGACGGTTTCAAAGAAGATTGCTTGTTTTCAGAATCATTGCCATCACTGCCCGACGCGATCTGCATTAGCGGAAACCGCACCAAATATGCCAGCAACAGTTTATTCATCACTACTTTAATAAAAATGTGCTTGAAAACGGGGATTATCTTTATTTGCATGATGGAAATTAATTACGTATGCTTTGCATTTTCCGTACTTTAAAGCAAAAGGTGCAATAGCCGTTAGGTAATTGGCTTTTGCAAGTTTAGGGGTAACTGCTTATATTGGACCTGTTTTGGGGGTAACGGCCTCAAAAAGGTTGAGAACTACTGGTCTATGGGCTACATTTTTCCAGTCGATGGCTTGGATTGTGTCTGCATGAGTTTACTGGGAACTAGCTACTAACCGTTTAGGGACCTTCTTTAGCTGCCGAACAATATTGCAGAACTTCTCCCAGCTCATCGGCGTCTCGTCTTCAAACAACAGCCTTTCACAAGCCTGTTCGTTACGGATACGAGATATCAAGCACTGTAAAGCCATCGCCACTTCGAACTTGGTGGCTGGGAGTTCACTACACCGATACACTAGTACAGCTTGCTGTAACCCCGCAATGGATTCAATGACACTTTCTTCAGACTTTTGACGCGATTGAGAAAGAATACCTCGCAGTGTATGTGTTCAATCGTGAACGTCATAACCCGCTGAGGACTTCTAGCGCAAAGTTGACTGTCTCCTTCTCACTGACATGTAAGGCTTCAAAATGTCTTTGGCTGTCATCCCCTAGAAATTGTCGCAGTAATTTAATTTTGTGGCTCTCTGAGCGTATCGTGTTTGGTTGCAAGACCGGTAGTAGCTCCAAATAATGCACATTACTGCACTTCCAAAGGTTCCGGGTAGCCGGTGTTGGTTCCTCAAGAGGAATATTCCAAAGTAGTGTAAGAGGGTGCAACATCGCGGTAGTTTATCCTCGCCACCAAAATCTTAAGTATGGCCCGTAGCCAATAGAGGGAACACAACGCGCAGGAGTAGGATGGAACCGTTTTAACGAAAGCTTTTTACGTTACAGTGGCTAAAATTGCCGAAACGAAAAGCCGATGAAATAAGAAAGGTAAGGTCATTGTCAGCCAATCGTGTGGGCGCCTGTATTCACGATCAGTACTCAACTACATACGTGACACCTGGAATGTCGACGCAACTTTTACTTCGAGTGTCACAGCCATGGAACGCTTTTCGGAGGCATTTAATAAATGCCCCACCTTATCACTTTTCAAAAACCACCTTTACACATTTACACTACGTGTTATGGACTAGGGCCATCAGATGATGACATTAGTACCCAATAAACAGTGGACAGTGCCATAGCCCACCTAAACTCCATGCAGGAATACTCGCACATGAGTTACTGCAAACCCCTTGGTGAATCATTTATCTCACATGCTCTTGTGCTGACGCTGTTCTTTTTTGGTAAGCTTTTAATTGTCACCCCAACCATTCTAGAGAACATGTTAAGCATTCGCTTTTATACCCGGTATAAACCATTGCTCCAACGCCAGTAACTTAACCACTGTCCACAATTGCTCAGAGAAGGAAAAGCTACCTATCAGCAGTACATCGCCAAAATCTTCAGTGTTAACCACAAACTGCTGTACAAGCATGTCATTGGCTTATAAAAGGTAATGCAAAGATTTCCTCCACACAGGACGGCCGATGACCCAACAAGAACGACTATGGAGGCATCAAACGCGCTGCGGATGCAATATGCCACCACGTTTCAGAGGGTCTTACCATCAAGTACTCTTCCAAATTTCGTCGCCCCCCACCAGAACTAACCCACATCTCTTTTTCCACTGAAGTTGTATTTCATAAGCTGACGTCTCTATGCAACCACAGCTTCCCGGAAGTCGGCACCATTCGTGCAGCGGCACTAGGAGCAGCAGCAAGCCAAATGGCAGGACTTTGGCCCACTTTTTCTAGCGCCGCTTAGACCAAAAACAGAATCCTGCGATGTGGAAGTTTGAAATAATAATTCCGATTCACAAAGACGGAAGCAGAATTGAGCTCTCCAACTACTGTCCAGTATCTATTCTCCCTACACTCTCCAAGGCCATAGGATCCATCGTTGCCGATCTACTGGTGTGCTATCTGAAAATGTGTAGCGTCCTTACGCCCGAGCAGCACAGCTTCCGTCAACACAACATCGGGGGGGGGGTGGGGGAGTGGGGGGGTGGGGGGGTGGGGGGGGGGGGGTGGGGGGGGGTGGGGGGGGGGGGGGGGGGGGGGGGGGGGGGGGGGGGGGGGGGGGGGGGGGGGGGGGGGGGGGAGGGGGGGGGGGGGGGGGGGGGGGGGGGGGGGTGGGGGGGGGGGGGTGGAGGGTGGGTGGGGGGGGGGGGTTGGGGGGGGGGGGGGGGGGGTGGGGGTAGTGGTATTATTAATTGGTTCATCTAGACTACGGGACGTCCTTTTCCTTCTCAACCGATGCTGCACCTAGTAAATGCGATGCGCGAGATTTGCATGTACGGCCAGCGTTGTAAAGTACAAAGCGCATGCGGTTAGCGCGAGACATCAGTTCCTAACATCAGACTACAGAAACAATCTAGTATCTCAGCGTTCTCACGAGTATTCTTAACCTGGCCCCATAGCGCAACCACGATAGCAGTTTTACAGTTGATTGTTACAAAACGGACTGGATATTTTTTCTAGTTTACAGGACTAGCCGGTCATAATAGCCCGCACTGTTAGCAAATGCTCTGTCACTTAGTGCACACATTTATGGTGGATTCAGAGTGTGCCTGGATCATAACCGAAGCGAAACGCCCGGTTAAGTATATAAATTTGCATATTTCTGCAAATCATAGGTGTAAATCTCAAAACTCATGGCCTGCGCGAACGTGTCGAGCGTCGTACGCAAGAAGACAGGTTTTTTTACAGGACACTTGGTAACACAGCCATTAACAACATTGCATTTAAAAAGCAGGTCTTATACATCTCTCGCAAAAGGTCTTCCACATAACATGGTGGATGACCTGTCTGATGCAAACTGAACACATCGGGACTTTACAGTGTCAGCTAGCTCCAGTGTTAGGAGAGCGAGAACATTGGCAGGATTCACGGACTTCATTGGCGGAATCGGGGTAACAGATAATACTGAGGAATCTCACACGACAATTTCTACATGCTCGCTAATCTGTAAGTCACCATGATGCAAAGGGGTTTACAGCTCCATTTAAACTTGTAGCGGCACAACAATTATCCCTGGTACACCTTAGACATCGTCCAACGAGCACATGTTCTTTTCCGGAGACCCCATCAAACACTGAAAAAAGCACCAAAAGCGTATAGCAGCGTAAACCTACTGTTCAACTAACCAGTAAGGACTAATTAAAACGGCGTAGATACTGCAGAGACGATTAAAGCTCCTGACCAGCAGCCGATTTAAAAGATCCCGCCAGAGCCGAACGTCCCACATGTATACGACTACATACTGGATGGGGTGCGATCGAAGCTCGTCGGCCAGCTAAGACAATGTATATACCTATGACACTGCGCGAGTAGACACAGACTACTGAAGTCCCCCGTTAAAACTGGAGCTAAACGATCAAGTCCGAGTTACAGAAGTCACACTCTTCGCGAAATAGTAGCTCGCACGGATCAGTGGTCCCGGAGTCTTAGAACACGATATCTAAACTGGATAGAAAAGCATCTACTCGATTCTCGTGTTCAGGGCGATTAGTAAGGCTGGCAACAAAGCGCGGCCTCTAAGTGCACAAAATGTTGGTTCCGTACAACCGGAGTCGCTATAGCTTTCAAGGTCTGGCTTCTAGGGATCCGAGTCCGTGGCGCCATGGACCTCGATCAATCCAGGACTTTCTAGTCAAATAATTTGCTAAGCTTCTCGCGGGCCCAGGTGCGGGCACCTCGGTGCAGCAAGGTACAGTCTATGACCTCCGGTTGCATACCCTTCGCGTGCATTCCGATCGCTGCCGCGACAGCAGGATTATGTCACGTTCTCAGTCTCGTTCCGATACTACACTCCTGCGGACGGCCAAGTCATCCTAAGAAACACTGGAACTGGTGTTTACTACGATAATAGCACTGCACACGTGTAAGTTCAGTAGGGCAGGTCCGTACTATCCTATAGACTGTAGCGTTCACCAGTGCGAGCTAGAGGCTGTGTAAAGTAGTTTTACTCGTCTGTATTGTGCAGCGCGACGTCTATCTGCCTATCAATAGTCCGGTAGTGAGGGCAATGCAAAGGTCGGAGCAGCCGATTTTCACCTCTCGTCAGGAGTAGCTATCGACAAGAATCAAAGTGTTTTCGTTTAGCGGCGCTAAAACAACCGGTCTTGTTCTTGCCACTTATCTTTCAATGTGACAACCAGTAGTTGCAAGAAGCCATCGGCGACTAATCCACGCTCTCCCGCAGCAACAGCCTACATTCGCGATAGCAGATTCTAGCTGCGAGGGTAGCATGCTCCTCGATTATCATGCGAGGTCTTCATCTCCTCGGACGGTCCAAATCGACTGATGCAACATTCCGATTGTCAGATCTCTAAGTGCAAGATGAGCGATGGTCAGGCTTGCGTGTTCTACAGGACCGTTGACGCACGAGACTTGTACTCTCTAGTATACGTGATGTTGTAAATACCCCGCTATCGAGTCCCCTGCTGAGAGCGGCCCACAGACCACAAGTAAAAGCAGCCATTGGTCCTCTATCCTACACCGAGTCATTCTAGAGTATCAATGTGCACTCAGGGTGTGTGCTATCATTAAAATAGATGGTGCAGGTGATCAATCGATCCATATGCCTCGGAGACGGAAACAGCAAGAAAGCAAGTCACCATATCACACCAGCGCAGACGGTTGAAGAACGGTAGCGGATGGGGATGTGTATTCTGGAGCACATCGCCGCGAAGGTGTCAGTGCGAAGTACACTGCCAAAGTGGCACAGAGCTCATATGGCCACTCCACCGACGCGAGGTCGGTATATCGCCCCTTAAAGACCCTCAGGAAAACCGTATAAAAAACTGTCACCATAAACGTTCGCTTTCTCTTTCTTGGACTACGGTGTCAGGATAGGCTCTCCGACCTTAATCCAGCCTCCCGGCTACCCGAATGCACAGATGTTACTCGCGCTGTCTACTTATCGAGGTAGCAGAGTTGCTGCGATTCTACTAGAGGCAACTGCCAAGCGTGTACAGCAATCACGTTGGTATACTGAACTCCTGACGACGTTGAAAAGGAGCTGATCAGCTCTCTGGCACAACCTTGTGCACAAGGTCGTACGGCATGCGATGCGCTGCTACGCCGCACGTGCAGAGGGATCGATCTCTCAGTGTATCCACACTGCATACATCTACCCGGCGGGATGGCAGGCGAGATGAGATGCGAGCGGATAGGAGAGCTCTCCTCCAGAGCGCACTACTACGCCCAGAGGGAAAATGGTGACTATGAGCGGAGGCTGCGCGAGGGCCTATCTGTAGAGCCTCGTTGGAATTATACGTGCTTCGAATAGCCGCTGTTGCGAGATTACCGCACGGGGTTGTAGGGTAGCGGTCTGTGTGCGCTCATGTGACGTAGTTGGCCTCTTCCACACTGATGGCCTGTGCCATATCGACTTTTCGCCGCTCATCGTGCCCAGTGAACACGTGGTCGTTGTCGCGTTTAGGATGTAGCACGTAGAGCTATAAACTTCATGTATACATCTCATTTGTGGCCACAATGGGTTACATTGACTTAGTCATTCTTTTCTGCGGGCGGCTAGCGAAAGCTAGGTCCGGCGGCACACATTAGGGACTAGTCCGACATATAAAGCTCTACGGATAGGAGGCGATTCGCCTGAATGGAGTTTGGTGTGGGGTTACCCGGCCAGACGAGTCTGAGGATCATGCATGCTCTATGAAGAATGGGAATACTCGGTGTAAGTGTAAACTGGAGGTCGACGCACAGTCTGTGGG